TCCTTTATAAATTTTACCCCCTTAGATGAAAAATACTTCCGCGTCGCCTGTGGAAATTATAAGACTTGTTACGATATCATGGTAGATATACAACACGAATGAAATGTGACGAAATGAAATTTAGCACGCGCGAGTGCGTAACGCGATACTTCTTGCTGTTAATTCACGAGATTGTTATTTTATAATCATTAATATAGAAATCGATCTGCACAGTGTATCGTAATCGGTGCATTTCTGTTCCTTTTATTCAGAATTTCCGAACAGGCAGTCTCATGTATCATGTAACTGAAAGTTACGTTAAATAATGTACATTTTATTATTAATAATTCATTAATTTTATTTAGCTGGGAAGCCTGCGCTTTATTATTTCATACAAACAAGGATTTCGTAGCTCCGATAAATCTTCGAATCAAAAGTTCCCACACAGTCGCGCCCCATTTTAGACGTTTTATTATTTTATGTAAATAGAAATTCACCCCGAGAGAAATCGCAGCTCATCTACGTGCTCTGAACAGTGAACTGATCGAAATTGAAATTTTATTACAGGCACCGGCGAGTCGGGCAAGTCCACCTTCATTAAGCAGATGAGGATCATCCACGGTTCCGGTTACTCGGACGAGGATAAGAGAGGGTTCATCAAACTCGTGTACCAAAACATTTTCATGGCGATGCAGTCCATGATTCGGGCGATGGACCTCCTGAAGATCCAGTACGGCGACTCCTCGAACATAGTACGTATCGTTCACGGGCTCTCTCGGTTGGTCGCGTCAATAATCCGTTCTCTCGGTTAACAGCGAAAAATCACGTCCGAGCAGCTGCGCGACGCGTCTGAGAAATTGAAATTGACACTTTATTCAACTTTGTATCAGCTCGGAAGACGGAGTGTCTCATCAAGACCATTATTTAATTCATTCAATTCGCACACGTTCAGCTAATTCGCTTATTCCGCGCCGCCTCGCATTTATTTAATCTTGTATTCTCGTGGGCGTCTGAAACGTATCGTTGCCTTGGACAGCAATTGTCTTGAATCCGCCGTCTGTATCGCGCGCAGCTTCTCGAACTGCGCATTTAATTAGAGCGTTTAACCGCGCTGTATCAAAAGGTCAACGATAGCACCGTATCGCGCCGCTTAATATCGTCAGTTCCGTTTCGCCGTTTCCGGAGACACTCACCGTTGCGCTCCTTTCGCCACCAGGAAAAGGCGGAACTCGTGCGAAGCGTGGACTTCGAGACGGTGACGACGTTCGAGAGCCCGTACGTGGAGGCGATCAAGGATCTGTGGGCGGATTCCGGTATACAGGAGTGCTACGATCGCAGACGGGAATACCAGCTCACGGACTCCGCCAAGTAGTGAGTATTTCGATCGCGGCCGGACCGCGGCCCTCCTTCGCGCGGGGGCGGCGCGCGTTCCCTCATATACGTGTCTTATCATCGGCCGAGGAGTGATTATTTTTTTCTCCTTTTCCTTCCTCCTCGCCCCTAGCGCTGGCCTCCTCGCGTAAAACGCCGTGTAATCGTCGATACAAAATATCTTGAATTTATCGCGCACACTTTCTCTTTCTTCTGCAGATGTTTCCTCCTTTTCTTTTTTTTATTTTATCAAATTGCGCGTCAATTTTTTTTAAACAGGAATGTTAATAGCTTCTGCGTTGTAATAAAGAAAACGAATTTGTACGAATTTAAATTGCAAATTAATGATTCTCGGTATTCTTCTTCATTTACATGTAGTTTTTATTCTTATATTTACGTTTATTTTATGTAAATATAATGCCGAAAATAAAAGGAGACGATATTTAAATTGAGTTCGCATTAATAAGATCGACGCAACACGTGAGAACGCCTCTGCCCGTTTTCGAGAAGAGAAAAAGAAAAGAGGGAAGTTGACTTAAGGCCTTTGAGTAAGCTCTTCATTTTCAGAATCCCCGCTTTTTTATTGAGCCGTTTCTAAATCTTCGTTTAAACACGCGCCTACCCGATCGCGGTGCCTCTTTGAGTTCGCGTTTTCAAGCAATGCTCCTGATATTTACGCGCGCGCGCGCCAGACACGATTCAATTCTCCCACGGTGGCTTTACCTCCTCGCCTTACCTTCCACCCTCCGCCCTACCCCCGCCCTGCGCCCGCCAAGCTCCTTGCCGCTGCAGCGGGTATTGAGAACACGATGTTTCAGTTACCTAATGGAGATAGATCGAGTCGCGGCACCAAACTACCTCCCCACAGAACAGGACATTCTTCGTGTGAGAGTGCCCACCACCGGTATAATTGAATATCCCTTTGACTTGGAAGAGATCCGATTTAGGTATGTGCGCCTCTCGCGGTCGGCCGACAGCGATGATGAAAGAAGAAGCGAACTGCCTGCCTGCCTGCCTGCGCCTGCAAAACCACGCCTGCATCGGGCCGTTTCTGCATCCTCTCTGTCTTCTGTGATTTAAACTGCTGCACCTGGGACCCGATTGCCCGTTTGAATGTTCGCTTATGCCCCTCCCCTCCGTTCCGTTTCGACGCTGCTCGAGTCTCGTGACGATACATTAAGCGAAATGAGCTCGTTCGGAGAGAATCTGCGCGATGGTCGCGGAAAACAAGAGTGTGCACCGGAGCAAGTCACCAGACTCCAGGCGTCGACGTTCGTGAGACTCTTTCAGGCCGAGCCGGCGGACAAGCATGCGGCGAGAGCTGTTTCAATACAGAGACCCCCGACTTGTTTTGCGATTATTGATATGAATTTTTCTGTGTACCACGCATGGCATGCCCTTCCAAACAGTGGCTTTTTTATTTCGTTTTGCAGTTATCTTAGTGACCTAGAGCGTATCGAAAAGCCTGATTTCCTTCCGACCGAGCAAGACATCCTCCGGGCACGAGCCCCCACCACCGGCATTATAGAATATCCGTTTGATCTGGACTCCATCATATTTAGGTACTAAATAACCTCTCAGATTTATACCACGTCCTTCGGACGTGCGCTCTTTCGGCATCGCAGGAATAAAATAAAATACCTCGAAACGCAGGAAGCAAGAGCCTCACTGGCTATGAACGTCTTTTCCTTTAGTCGACAAGATAATCTATGAAGTATACAAAGTACATACGTACATTTTTTATATGCAAATAAATAACGAAATCTGCTTATAATTTGAAGACTGTTTCAATGGAGTTTCAATATTGAAATTTAAAATGTAATACAATTTTAATTCCATCAACAAATTTTATCGTTAATTACGAAAGTATTTAAAAATTAATTTAGATATCCCAGAATTGGGATTAATTCAATATTCTTTTTTTATTTTCCGCGTGAAAGGACTGACTGAACAGGGAGTTATAATTACTTGTGTATGCAATTATTTTTAAGAAGCTTCGACGTTTGCATGTTTTTTAATATTTTATATTTTCTAACGTGTTGTCTGATATGCGCTCTGCTACTGCATGTGGCAAGTTTCCGTGCAATGTTATCCATAATTACGTAATTCAGAGTAATAAATGTAGCCTTTTATAAATGCATCAGAATGATGAGACGTTTTCGTAGATTTTGTGGGGCAAAGCAGCACGAATCGGTTCACCCATATTTTTTCTTCATATATTTTTCCAAATTTGCATGATACAACAATCAATATTTTACCGTAAGTCATAATTTGAATATAGCCTGGATTTCAGGGTATCTTCGAACAGATATCTTCCTTAACTCCCTTAAATTTTTAACCGCGCTCATGATCGAGCAAAGAAAGGATATAAAGCGAGCTGATACTCGTTTCGCTCGCATTTTTATCGGGGCTTATAAAAGATGTTGAATGGAAGAGATCTGGAAGATGAAGAGCGCCGAATGCGTGGCTCACAATAGCGATCTATTGCATGTGATTCGCCATTGGGCTGCTAGAGTGCGTCTGCCGGGGGTTAAAGACCACCCCTATTCACCCTGTGACCTGATTCGCCCTAGCTTTTGCCCCACGCGTTTCTTATGAGCGTTAAAAGTGTGTAGAAGCAGTCCGACAGACTGCATTTTTGTTTTTCTTTGGAATTTATTTCGTTCCGTTTAATGCATCGCGAATACAGTGCACAGTTTAATTGGAAAATCATTTGCAGGATGGTAGACGTCGGTGGACAGAGGTCGGAAAGAAGAAAGTGGATCCATTGTTTCGAGAATGTCACTTCAATTATATTTTTAGTAGCTCTAAGTGAATATGATCAAATTCTATTTGAATCGGAGAATGAGGTAATTATCACGCTTTAACGTCCTGCCCGGAAATGATCGATCAACGCTATTCTAACCGATTCCGTTTCCTTTCAGAATCGAATGGAGGAAAGTAAAGCACTCTTCAAAACGATTATAACATATCCCTGGTTTCAACACTCTTCCGTTATCCTGTTTCTCAACAAGAAAGATCTGCTAGAGGAAAAGATCATGTACTCTCATCTCGTCGATTACTTTCCGGAATATGATGGTAAGTTGGTCATAGCGGGCGCTATTTTCCGCGCAAATTGATTCGATATTAAATATTAGCAATCCATTCTGTCGATTAATTAAGATCAGACTTTTATTTCGATCTTGAAGGTGTGAGAATAATTGAACAAAAACACACATCAAGTGATAAAGAATATATATTTAAAGTTCCTATTAGTAAATATTTTCAATCGAACGTTGATCATTAATTGTTGTTTGTCAATCAAAACTAATTTACGAAGTGCATCGAAATGATTGATCTCGATATCAGTAAATGAGTACACTTTGTAATGTAGGCCCGAAACAACAAGACGTACCGGCCAGGGAGTTTATCTTAAAGGTGTATCTCAGTTCTAATCCCGATCCCGACCGAATGTGCTACTCTCACTTTACGTGTGCGACAGGTCTGTGTGAATACCGAGTGTGTCCCGAGCAGAAGGCGTAGAACTCCCAGTAGATTGTTTTGACTCTGCGATGTTAATCAAAATCCGCGTAGTCGTTTGTTAACAGTAATCTGTTCGCAGCGCTGCTAATTTCGGTATATTGTACATAGTAGGCGTACATTAGCACCACCTTCTGCGCGTTAATTTATGATAATTGATAATACGCAATATAGATACACAATTAATTTCGTATTTAGATTGAAGCTAGTTAATTTCATAATAATCAAGATTGTTGTGTAAGCCTTGTAATTTATAGCTTCGCGAAACGCCCCCTCGTCCCGTTATTAATTACTAAATGTTTGCGGCAAAAATATTACATTGACGGAAGTTCGCGCGGAATGTATTTGCCGACTCGCGGATCGGAAGGAACTCTCAGATTTTACTACGAAGTACAATATGCAAGCAGTTGTTTCAAATTTACAAAATTATGTACTCGGTACTCTTACGTAAGCCCTCTAGCTTATTAATGAGGCTTTCGAAAGGCTTCTTTGATGTTCACTACGACTAATTCAATAAGCTGTCCTTGGAGAGAGCGTATATTGGATTTGAGCGAAGTACAACATTATTCCATTAAAATAGATCGATATCCGTCTGCGTTTCGCGTTATCCTTTGCGCGCAACGGGCGTCGGTTCGCGTGGCCACGTTTTCCTCAAATGCGGACTCATTCATGTTGTAAAACACTTGGAGATTTCGTAACGCGGAAGAGTTTCCTTGGCCAAACTCCAGCTCTCGCGTCTCGTCGTGTTTACACCTGGCAACTTCTCAACAACATGTATCAATTAATCGCACCTCTTTCCCGCGCTCACCTTTCAACAATAAGAAGTAGCGACTTCGCCCGACACTATAACAGCCTCGTAGAGTAAACGGAAGTAACGCCAAGGCCCTCCCTCGCTTGTATACTTCGCAGGTCCGCAGAGAGACGCCATAGCAGCTAGAGAATTCATTCTGAGGATGTTCGTTGACTTGAATCCGGACAGTGAGAAGATTATTTATTCCCACTTTACGTGTGCCACAGGTAGGCTAGCCACTCGATCGCTACAGCGTACAAAAATATTACCGTACTTCTCTCGCTTTACAACAGTTCTTCTTTCAATGTGTTGTGTCTTGTACAGAGCTTGTATGTTGCCTGCCTCCCGTATGATCAGGTGTGTAATCAAATGTTGTACAGGCGCCATGGAAAAATCAACCTACGTACATTTATGAAAGACCATCTTTTTTCGGTGAATACGTGTTTTGTATATGTATAAATATACCTCTTAACGCATGGGTGATTGTACAAAAGAATCAATTAAGTGAACTAATCTAGTTAGATAAATATAACTAATTGAACATAGTTATTTACTAAAAAAAAAAACAAGTGCAACAAAATAAACACGGAAAAGTGAGATCATTTATAAATATGCAAATTGTGTTCGATGTAACAGTTCTAATCTTTCACTTGATTCTATTTACATTTAATTTCAATATTAATTATATATGTATGCATAGTTGCGTAAATTGTGACACGTGTATTTCTCGTTATCGTTAGATTACAAGTTATTGCAAAACACTCGATCTCGATAAAAAAAAAAACGAGTCTCAACTACCAGGTTGATTTTTCGACGGCATGAAGCGACGCTGACCGGTCTCAATGATGTCCGATTTATATTTTGCATGCTGCGTTTTTGGAATTAACCATCAGATACGGAAAACATCAAACTTGTGTTCTGCGCTGTTAAGGATACGATCATGCAAACTGCGCTTAAGGAGTTCAATCTTGCTTAAAACAGAACTTTATAAATGTTGTCGGATTTTTGATAACACCATTTGACATTTCGACACCGAGAATGATGCATGTCTGCGCCATAGATTAATAACGAAATTTATTGCATTAGTTTTTCGAGCAGCGAATGCTAGGCGTAGGTCAAATAGCATAGTGATCGCTCAACAAATGCTGCTGCAAGAAGCGAGCTGGCGCGAAACATTTGTCAAACGTTGTTATTACATTTTACTCTTTCTCCAAGAGTTGCTTTGTTGTGGCTTAGATCTGTGTCACTCTCGACGATTTGTCAGAAGGTTGAAGTGTCACGACTTACAGTGACTTGCTTACTTTTGAAGATGACTGCCAGTCTTACAGTTGACGACAACACATCACAATATACATTACAATAAATATAAAATATCAACAAGAGCTTGTAATCCAAATAAAATGGATATAGCAATTGACGCTCGCTCTAATAATTACTAATCACTTTGTCGCGTTGCTAATACAAATATCTTCGTAAAAACAAGCTTTTTCCGCCGTTTTAGTCCAATATTATCAGATTTATTTCGGCAAAAGTAGAATATGCCGTTATTTATGATTAAAGTTCCGTTAATTTTTATGCAAAAGAAAAGTTTTTTAGATATAGAAAAGTAAGACATATCACGCATTAAACGCGTCATTTCCATGTTTAAAATGCGTACTAACAATATCGCAAGGATCTTTTCAGTTGTCTGCATTACTAATCCTCAAATCAATTCGCTTCTTCAATAAAACAAAGCATCGAAAAAGAAATTATAGACCATGTTATGTTTGTGGTTTCTCTCTCGTATTACCGCAAAAAGTATCTCGAAGGGAATTGCATGCTGCATGTGTGTCATGACTGTCGAGGGTTTTGAAGCTTCGCGCTTAGGGTAAGTGCCGATTTTCATTTTGCGCTATTTCTGTGTTGATAACCTTTTCGAGAGATAGATTCTAAAGTCCTGAATTGTTGTTAAAGGTAGATAATTTATTTTTTTATATTTTAATGTCAATTCTCTCCAAGAATATTCAATATGTGTGTGTGCGCGCGCGCGCGCGTGTGTGTGTGTCAAAAATCTCGAAAGGCTTAAATGCTTTAACAAATTAAGGCAATGGACGTGTCTCATTTGTATCGAATAGTGCTTTGTGCAACTAGTTGAACATTTCTCTTTAAACATGTCTAATGAGCCTTTTCTGCGCACACCTCCGAGTTTCTAAACACATGTTTCTTGTTCCGCAGATACGGAGAATATTAGATTCGTGTTCGCGGCGGTAAAGGACACCATTCTGCAGTCCAATCTGAAGGAGTACAACTTGGTTTAGGCAGCAAAATGCGCTGCGAATCCGAGCGGACTCGACCAGTTTCTCTCGCACCCTGACCAATGTATCAGTGTGAGATTACTACTCCGTTGACTCGCAAGCGCGACCCGACAACGTTGGAAGAACGACGAAGAGGCACGAGAGGGCGGGAAAAAAAGAAAGAAAAAAAAAACCTGTGGTGCCATCATGCGCGCATGCATGCATGTATACCGAGGGCGTTGCGTCGCGCCGTGTCGAGCTTCGTCGCATCGAGAGTGTCGCACCGACAGCAGCCGTTAAGCTAAGACGCGTAAGATACACGTAACTTCACGACGGACGTGAAAGCGCGGCGAAAAGAGAGCGGACTAGGACCTAAAAAAAAAATTTAAAAAAAAAAGCGTCACACGAGCGTCGTTACGCGTTCTTTTTCTTATAAAAAATTTAAAAAAAAGAAGGAGCAAGGAAATGGGAGAAAAAGGGTAAAATCTCTCCACTGGCGACACCAACTCGCGCGAGTCGATTCGGTTCTCTCGGTTCTCTCTACACACCGGTTCCCGTTTTGGGATTTGTTACCTTTCTTTTTGTAGATTAGTTCTTAGTCGATATCGCGCGCGCGAATGCGCCCCTCCCCTCCCCCACCCCCCCACACCCCTCCGTGCCGGGGATGCGTCGATAAGCCGGGGGACCCCCGGTTATCGTTGTCTGACTTTTATATATATGAATGAACGAACGAACGAGGGCGAATTCACACACGTGTTTCACGCGCGTTGAGCGTGGCGCACGACGCGGCTGTGCCGCTCGCATTTTTAACGGCGCGTCCCGTCTGTGTTCGTCTCGAGTCCAAGAGATCTCAGCTGAGGAGAAGAAACTGAAGAGGCGAAACGGCGAGACGGGCGAACGAAAAAAAAAAAATAATAAAATGGACTTTTTAATCGCAAATTAGATTCGGTGATACAAGTGAGAACAATTCTAGTGCCATTTACTAGTGTGGTGTTGTTGTTTTTTTTCTTTTTCTTTTTCCTTTATTTTCTTTCTTTCTTGTTTTCTTCGTCTTTTTCTTTTGTTTTTCTTTTCCTTTTTTTTTTTTTTAATACAAATGCTAAATTATGAGAACGTCCTTCGTTTAGATTTACGCGAAAGCCAAAGTGTTTTTGTTTCTTCCTTTTTATCCGTGCCAGAAACAACTCAAAGTTCTTTCTGCATGTGACTCGAATCTATTAAAAATTCATGGTATAAATATTGTTATATATAATATATAAAGAATGAAACATATAGATTAGAGCGCGAGAGAGGGAGAGAGAGAGAAAGAGAGAGAAAGATTGAGAGAGTAATCAGCAGCGGCAACGGACAGGGAGAGAAAGAGAGAAAATCGAGAGTGCGAGGGAATGAGAGAGAGAGAGAGAGAGAGAGAGAGAGAAAGAGAAAGAGAGAGAGAGTGCGATGAGAGAAAGAGAAACTTGGCGTTTTGCGGAAGCGGAAGATACTGCGAGGAACTGCGTCTGTTCGATGTGACTTAGGTAATTAAGGGGCGCGGGAGGAGCCCGCAGATATCTCTCTCTGCCGTCTCCTCTCTCTGCCGGCTGTGCGCACGGGTCGCGCGAGGGCAACGAGCCGCGTGCGAATCCCTCCGGAGCGAAGCGCTCTCTGGAGTCGCGAGAACGAGGAGTTCCGACTCGCACGAATTGTATTCCTCGGGGGGGGAAAAAAAAACGAGAGAGAGAGAGACTCCGATTCCGCGAGGACGGAACTCCTCGAGGACGAGGAGTTCCGACTTGCGAGGACGGCTTTCTCGAGAAGCGGGAATCGCGTTCTGCGAGAACGAGTCCTCGGAGAAGAAGGAGGTGTTCGTCGCATTCTCCTTTCGTCGGGGCCCTCACCTTCCCACGCGGCGACACAGCCACCGCGCGCAGCCAGGGCCATGGGTCCCCTCCCCCCACCCCACCCCCTCCTGTCGGAAGGGGGACTTCATGCCCCTCGCTCGCCCCGTATCCACATTATACGGTGTACGTAAATATGAACTGCTCACTGCCTGCGCTCGCTTATATGCTGGCTAGCGCGCTGCCCGCTGCTCGTACTCTCCGACGGTTCGATCATCCCGAAGGCGCGGTTCGCGCCTCCCTTCTTTCCTGACGGCGAATGAGAAGGACGTCGACGATGAACTAACGATAGAAAAATTAGAAAAAAGTTGGCTGCAAATTGGTGGAATAAAATAGCAAAGGGACATTATAAAGCAAGCGTGAAGAGAAGAAGACGAGGCTGAGCTCAGCACCGGCATTCTTCCTTGGCGAACGAACGAGGGACAAAAGTTACTGGTATTCTGCGATTTCGACGGACATCCGAATCTTCTCCTCGCCTCGTTTCGACTTTGAAATCGACATTCTTTTTCCATTACAACGCATAATTACTCCAGAAAAATTGTTACGACAGTGTGTGTGTGTGTGTGTGTGTGTGTGTGTGTGTGTGTGTGTGTGTGTGTGTGTGTGTGTGTATGTGTGTGTGTGTGTGGACTTCCAGACGAGGAGGAGCGACACAAGCCGGACCTTGCCACCTTTTTCGAGGCTAGGAATGCGAGGGGTTGGAGATCGTCGTTCACGATAACGCGTAGCGTCGTGAGACGACCCTCCCCCCCCCCCCCAAGTCGGGAACAAGTCGCCGGGTGTGATTGCGAGGAATAGCGATGATGGCGACGGCCGCGCGCGAACCCGGAGAGTACGCCGCGCGAATAGAGACGATCCTATCTACGTGATGTCGACCGAATCCGGAGAGTTTTGCGTTCGGACGCGACGTTATGTGACGGTCCGAAACGCGCTACCCCGATTCTGCTGACGCCACGCACGCACACGTACAAGGTGTCCCATTTTAAATAATCCGCTCAAATATCTCAGAAATACCGCGTTAAATAAAAAAAATGTTTCAAATAAAAGTTGTAGGATTGATAGGGATATTAGTTGACTTTGGCAGGAGGCGCTTCGGAGATTTGAAGGTTATCTTCATTTTTTTTTTAATGGAACCACAAAAAAGATAAAGATGACTTTCAAATCTCCGAGGCGCCTCCGCCCAAAGTCAACTAATATCCCTATCAAACCTATAACTTTTATTTGAAATAATTTTTTGTTTAACGCGGCGTTTCTGAGATATTTAAGTGGATCATTTAAAATGGGACACCCTGTATACACACACTCACACACGGACATACACACACCGGGCAGCATGTTTCATATACCTTGGTTGTGTCACACTCACCTTGGTTGGAACACTGAGTTTATATAAAAGAAAAAAAAGTATATATATAAATACACATTGAATAATATATTATGTATTAAGCGGATACCAATAAATAATATTGAATAATACATTAATAATTATAATAATAATTATAATAATAATTATAATGATAAAATAATAATAATAGTAATAATAATAGTAATACTGCTTGGTTTTCAGTGAGAGCGCGTGATTAAACGGATGATGGCAGAGAGGGAGGGAGAGATAGCGCATGTGCAGGACACGAAGTGCAAAACGATGTATTAGTGAGAGAAAAAAAAGTGAGTGTAAGAGAGCGAGAGATAGGAAAAAATGTGTATGCGTATGTGCGTTCTCGTGTGTGCGTGCTCCGTGCATATTTATGCGTACATTTGTGCAATTGCGTATATGTATGTAAGAAAGCGAGAGAATGGAATTAGAGAGAAAGAGAGAAAGGGGGTGAAGAAGGAAAAGAGGAGGTAAAACGAAGAGAAGGCAGGGGGGGCGACTTTCAGTGTGCATGCGTGAAAGATATTTTAACGAGAGATAAACACAAAAAAAAAAGATTGGTTGCGACACTATAGGCTTTGTACAACCCTAATCGAGAAACCGGCGAGTGACGATGTGCAAGAGTCTCCACGGGGCTGTTAGGTTCATTTGTAAATCATCTCTCTTTCGTCAGGAAGCGTACACCACCCTTCCGAGAGTATAAAATACGTTGGATATTCTTTCTCTGTGTATAAAATTGTAAACACCTATCAAGCCCAAAATCAATGTTTCTAACTTATTTATAATAAATAATATACATTAATGATAAAAATAAACACAGTTTGTGACAGTAGCATCGACGAGCGTGACGAAAGAATTCATCCCTCAGTAGCAGCATCGATCCTTCCTGTTCATCCCATATAATGCTATCATCATAATTCATGTTTTTATTTTTGCCGACAGTCCAATCGCATGGGTCTTTTTTTTTTCATCGCTGCGAATATTTTCACAAATTCTCCAACGAGCGAAATGAAGAATGAGAATAAAAGAAAGTCTTTGAGAGTTCGATATCCTTTCGATTGATCATTTATCATGTTCGTTTGTGCTTTATTGTCCTTTTTTCTTCTTCCACTTAGTAGGGTACGGCAAGGGGTGAAATAAATAGCAATTTCCGACCTATTTGTAACATATAATAGATGTTGCTAAAAATATAAAAAGACCGTAATAGAAATATGATGGTAGCAAATTTTTTACATGAAGCATGTACCGCGCAAATCCTTTCCTATCCTCTGCGTGCCACTTAAGCGCATCACATAATCAAATAACCACATTTAGATAACTTATCTTTTGGCATACGTGCGTTTATCTCTTCTTTTTTTTTCAAGGACATATTTTTCGTATCTTTCTCAAGCGTGCATTTATATTTATATTTTTTCCGAAACATTTCCAAAAAGATTCTCTACACCAAAAAGCGATTAAAACGGTGGCATAATAATTGCAAATATTTGAATATGTATAATTAATTTCGTATGGATATTGATTGCATTTATTTATCATGCGAATGGGATGTTGAATTACATCTCTAATTACAGTTAATTTTGCAAGTTTATCTTTTTAACTGATTATAAATGAATTTGCGGTGCAAACTATACGATGGCAAACGTTTACGAGAGAAACATCAAGGTCTGAAGATTCGTAATAACGTACTTGGCGTGCTTTAACTTTGTTCAATTATGTAAATTGCTAATTAAAGAGTTTATTGGCGCACTTATCTAATTGTTGAACTGTCGATTTCCGCGAAATAGGTTACGCGGGGGAATCTTTACCGCGTGCGTCGACCAGCTGAGGGTAGAGAATAAAAGAAGGGAGCGACAGCTGTGAGGAGACGGTGAAATGCGCATGTACCGAGAGGGGCGAGTGTTCCACCACCTGGATCAGATCTACGAGCGGAAGGAGGACAGAGTGAACCGAAGAGGAGGACGGATAAACCGTGCGAGCGAGAGAATAATGCGAAAGAAGGTGAGGTGGGAAAGGGAGGGAGAAACGGTGCGAGGGAGAGAAGGATAATTCGCGGGCAGAAGGGGACAGAAATTGTGCACCGAGAAGGATAAAGCGAAGCGGAAAGAGAAGGACGCACTGCGCGTGCAGAAAGAGGAGGACGGAGACTGTGGGAAAGGAATGAATCGGAGAAGGACGGAGTATGCGGCAAGCGGGGAGGAGAAAATTGCGAGATAGACAGAGTGAGGAGGACAGAGCGAAATGGAGAGAGGAACGGAGAATAGGCATGCGAACGAGAGAGAGAGAGAGAGAGCGAGAGAAAGAAAGGAAGGGAGGGTAGCGCGCGAGTAGAGTCGCGGCACCGCGTTTCCGCGACTATAGTCCTGCGGAAGATCATCGGGAGGACTACACCCCTGCCGCAGTAGCGAGGATCAACCCGTATCCGCACACATCGCACGTCGCGCACTGCTCCGAGGCGGAAAGGATGAGTCTCTTGCTGGACGAGGAGGAGGAGCTGGACCTGTGAGTGATCTTGTTGTTGGTGTCCGAGATAAAAGTTGCGAGAAAGGTCTTGGGAAAGAGCCGTTCGACGATGTCTCACCCCTGCCCGTCTCACACACGCTCGCGTTCCTCGAGGGCGCGCGAAAAAGGGCTGGGCTGGCCATCGAGTCGATCGCGCGGTCGCCTTTCGCGAGTGTTCGAACCGAGACCGCCACCGTTCGCGTCATGAATTTTTAAACGAATCGCGATCGTGCGATCGAAGGGCGAAATCCCGAAAGAATCGTTGCGCGCGTTAAAAAATCGATCAGATGTGTGATTTTAACATAAAAGAAAAGAAGAACGTTAATTAAAATGTTTGATGTTTTATTTTGCAATTTATAAGATATTTTGACGTATAAAAGTACTCTGTTTTTATTTCTGCAAAATTGAAAGAATAATATTCGAATAGTATTTCTCGAAACATTCCTTTGATTATCGGATTGAAAAATTTGATTTAGTTCTGTGTGACGTCCTCAGTCGTGCGAAACGAAATATGTCTCGTTGCATCACGATACACGGCACTTTGGGGGATGATTTGCGCATGCTGCGAGCATGCAAAGTATACGACGTGTGGAATAAAATGTGGTTGCATGACAAGAAATAAAAATAAAGTGTCAATCAACGATACTGTCCTCATTTGAGCTTGATCGTATTTCGGCTAAATAAAAAAGCTTAACTGGAAACACTTTTACTAAAAATAAAAAAGTAAAGTTAATTAGTGAGAATATATGACGTTTATAATACAACACAACTTTGTTGTGCGCAGTATTTGAGTCATATCTCCATTTTAATATCGAAGGTGTTTTATTGAAATACGTGTTATGTCTACTTTCTTCCGCTTTGTGTTAAAAACCTTTGTCACCGTGTGTCAACGTTAATTAAAACTCAAAACCAAGTTTAATTAAAAACCGTGTTTACAATGAAACAGATTATTTCCTCGGCAATAAGCAAGATAAAAAGCAGAATAACAAGTTATATGCGTATGAAAAAACTTTCTAAACCACAAATTTATAGCAGTGATCTTTTAAATATAGAAACCTCATTTATCTCTCTTCGAGTTATAAAGTTTCAAGCACGGTTTTAAAAAAAGGTCACGACTGATTAAAAAGTTAACTGTATTATCAACGCAAAAGAGATAGTCTAAACAAAATAGTTCAAACTGGATTAATACATTTTTTTAATTCTTTTATCAATATTAATTTAATACAATTTTTAAATACTTAACGTGATGAGCAATTAATCATTTACAACGCAAAGAGAAATAGTCACTAATTCATGACGACTAATGGACATTGCGGTGAAAAATCGAAGTACGAAATGAAAGCGGCATGTGTACATTTTTCAACGTTTCCAGTTACATAGCTACGTTTCTCGATATGTTATACCAATTTTCGTAATTATGTTTTGACGATTAGATCAGAAGTGGCCTTCGTTCAGAATGAATCAAGTACATTTTATATCGATAAACGATTTGTAGTTGTGCGCGGTTTCTTTAATTAGTATAATGTAACGCAGTATCCGTCGGGAACTTTTTTGCCAGATTAACTAATTGCAGTTGTGCGAGAAATCAACAAGATCAATACAGAAGATTGAAATTGAAGTTGAAACGTTCACAATTATAAACTGCATCTACATTATTGAAATAAATTACATTACTTTTTAATAGAGGTTTCAAGTCAATTTTTCTCCAATCGTTTGTCGCAAGTTTTTAATTTTTATTTTTAACAAACAAAAGATGTAAAAGCCAAATTAATGAATTTTCAATGTGTATTACATTACACCGTAAAATTGAAATTATTTGAAAAATGTCTACGGAATATATCGTTAATAAACACTTCCGCGAACGCTGATGAGTAAAGAAGAGGCCGAATGAAACGCATGAGTACGTGTACATTGACTTACGTGCTTTCGTTGCCAACGAAGTGGACGATCGATGCGACTCTATTAATAAGAACGTATGGAAGCAGATCGTGCCCTTTTCTATATTCCCCTCGCCGACCAAGTTCCTTCGTGAATTAATCCTGAAAGCCCAACAGATCCTACAATTTTTCGTTTTGCTACTGTTATTGCACAACACAAAGAATCGTTTAGTCTTCTTTTTCTCTCTTTTTTTTTCTAGCAAAAATTTTTCTATTTAATTATTTCTTACCTTGTAAATATTTTCTTGGATTCTAGTAAACGAACTTCCGCTGTTTTTGTCTGTTAGCAAAAATTAGGATAACAACTGACGGCAAAGAATACGATATTCAGGCGCCGCGGAAGTATTTTTCATCTGGGAGGGCAAAATTTATAAAGGGGATACATAATACATTTATAATATGTATACGTATGTAACTCCATTCAAACACCATGTAATAGGCCACTTAGCGGGTAGTATAAATGTGCGAAAAATATGCACAGTTTTGTTCTAATTAACTTAATGCGCTTAATTTTTTTTTGTTATATAGTATACTTATATACTTCAATTGAACGAGTAAATAGTCAAAAAAAAGGAAAAAGAAGAAAAAAAGAAAAGAAAAATAACTCATTTTTTCACCTTTGATGTAAATATTTGATGCTT